ACACCATTGTCTGAAAAAAAATCTGTTTAGATAACTTTGGGCAAATTACTTAGACTTGCTATTTTGTTTCCCTAACTTCTCAAATTAGACCACTAGCCATCTGTGAAATGTACTGAAATGTCTGGATGATCACATTGGAGAGTTAATTCTGTTTATATTTTGGTTTGGTTAGCAGTCTGACCTGACTTGGTACATTTGGCTCCCCTTTTTGCTTTAAGTTTAATAAAGTTTAGCGTCCTCATCTGGTGACACATTGTATGTAAAAAGGAACTTTTAAGTATTTTTGAGAGACTGGTAAAATACTACAAGGAAGCAATATGTTGAAGTTAATTTTGTTTGGTTGGTAATACACGTGAGCTGTCTCTGTTTTTTACGCTGAAGTGGAAATGAGGCCTTGTTGTCTAATGAAATGTATCAGTTGTGCTGAGGATTGCTTGTGCTATGCTTGCAGAATGATTTTGAAATGCCTGTATTAAGGTTTTTAAGTTTTCAGTTGCTATTCTGGTGAGTTAGGTCATATATATATATATATATGTGTGTGTGTATGTGTATATAGTGACTACAGAACAAAATTTAAAAATTTAAAAACAGATGTTTATCCTAAATTCTTATTTTTGTTGGAAGGATTAAAAAAAAACCTCCACAAGCCAAACAAACCTATAGATACCGATTAAACTGCAGATACACAAGGAAACAGTGTTTGATGTAATGCATATAAGAGATTTCTGAAATGCAGTTTTGATTCCTTTAAATAACAGACACTATCAGAGTTCTGTAGGCAAGAAAATAAATTAACTTTCAAATACAGCCATATGTGTTTATGATTACGGGATAGGCTGTATCTGTATCTGACCACTGTAGGTAAGCTAAATACATCATGAGCTCTACAGAAAACGGTAATTAAATATATCAGCCAAGTGCTCTGTCATAGCAATAGTTAATCGTTACCTGTATAAGAGACTGGGCTACAGGAAAGGAGACATTAAAGTTGTCCTAGTTTGGGCATCTCCGAGTTGTTTGAGCCTGGCAAAATCAAGCAGAATAATTCAAATGATATTTCCTTAACTTGTCAAATCACACGACACTAGAATGTTGTGTTATGTTGTTTTTGTTATAATAAACTTTAAAAACAAAAAACAAAACAAAACCCCAAAACCCAAAAGATGTATAATCCTGCCTTTACTGTAAAGATTTAAGTAAATAAAGTTTTATCTGAAATACTTGAATGGAAAAGTAAGGTAGGGATTATCTTTGCAAATGAGAAGTGATACTTTGCTGTGGCAGCTTTGCTGATGGGAGTCATTCAGCTCCTGCCTTTGATCAGTTGTATCTCCTTTTTTTAATACTTGATGTGAAAGACTATTCTCTCATAATACTAATAATTAATTATGATATAATACAATATCACAAAAAGCATTGTAATGAGACCATTCTGCAAGCGACTTGCTGTTAAGGAATGATTTTTGTATTTCCACATCAGTCTCCCAAAATAATACAGGGAAAAAAAAGGGAAAGAGCAGACAGCCAAACAGGAAAGACCTTTAAAATAGGCAATCTTATTCCAACCTAAATCACAAATAAAATGTTTTGACTATTTTCCGTGCCAGCACTAGAGTGTTTTATAATTAGTATCTTGGCTAAAGTTCACTTGACATGTTGCTGGGAGATAGTGACCAGCAGATTAGGAATAGTTGAAAGTTTTCAGTACTTTATTAAGGATACCTTATTTGTATAAAGCACTCATTCTAGTTTTACTGTTGAATTTTCTATGGATGTTGTCTTTGTGTGTTGTTTTAATGTTTGTGCCATCAAGTTTTGTAGGCCAGCCCGCGTTATTCTTAAGCGAGTATTTTTGCCTGGCAATCTTAAAATAGCATGAAAAAACATTCTTTAGTTTTCAGGGAGGGATTTCAGTGTCAGTATTTCTGTCATTATGTACATAAGGACTTGACAATTTTATTTTATTTTTAAATGAAGAGTGTTTATCCCCGTGGTGCTGCGTGTTGAGGAGAATGCCTTGCAGTTCAGCAGAGGGTAGGTGAGGCAGCCAGCAGCTGAGGGATGTGGCTCTGGGTACAGCAGGACACTGGATTTATTTATGTTGCACGAGTTCGGTGCTTCTGCTGCAAGGGCACCACAGCTTTTCCTCTGGATGTAACTTCAGGAGTTGAAAAAGAGTTAATGTAGAAGGAAGGAATGTTCTACTACTACCTAATGATCAAGAAATGCATTTAATTAATATTAAGGTGATTGTTCCACTGTAATGCAGAACTTGTTGCACAGCAGGTACTGATACTTCTGTATTGGTGCTTATAGCTATAAACATTTTCAGGACAGTTATTAATAAACACTTTTTTGATAGAGTGTATCTTGTCACTTGCTAAAACATACTTTTCCTCCTCCTCAACTCTAGTTCCACTTTTATCCTTTTAATTTTTTTAGATGTTTTGTTTTCCTTTGTTTGATTGCTGCTAAAACTAAAGGTCTCTTTTGCTACAATTTTATCTGTAAATGACTGATGTTCTTATTAAATAAGCGTATCAAAGCAGAGACTCCCTTTGTTGGAAGGGACAAGTCCAAAGACAGAGAAGGTTCTCAAGAAATGGTTCAAAATAGCCATGGACTATGTTTCACGATTTTTGCTTTCCCCCCCCCCACCCCTCATTTTGTATAATTTTTTTTGAATTCTCATTTCAGTTACAAACAAGCTTCAGCCTTGGGCACTGTGGCTTGTAGAATGTCCTGCCATCAAAGTTGTTAAGGATGTAACTTTGATCTCAAGTTAATACTTGCAGACATCCTGCAGACAACAGTCTTCTATCCTAAACAATGTTTAACTTAAAAAGCTTCCTCCTGTGTTTATAAAGTTCATTTTTAGTGGGGTGCACAGTGTTTGTAAAAAGTGATGTTTAAACAGAAATTATTTGTTGAACTGATGTTTACAGGAAGTGGCTAATGGTGAAATTTGAGTTAATACTGCAAGAAATCTCATGAAAGAGGGGTGAATTGGCAAATTTGATAGTGGAAGGGTAAAAATAAAAATGGAGGCAAACACTTTGTGTGTAATAACACATTTTGTAGGAAAAGTTTGATTCCATTTCTACAGGTCATTCAGAGAGCTGTTACAGAATGACTGTCTTCACAATTACTTAGTTTGAATGTCATATTTGGAGTTCAGAAGACTCATTGAGAAAAATGTTTGGTTTAATTTTTGAAATTGGCAGGAAATTATAATATTACAATAAGTAATACATATTGAAAATATTTCTGCATTGTAAAAATATAATCTGGTAGTTATGATGATTTAATAGTGAATATAATACTTGTATGAACGTTAGGGAGCTTTTACAACCTTATGGGTTTTTTGGTTATTTTTTTTTTTCCTCTTTCTATGAGTACATGGCAGCAAAGTACTTAAATACCAGGTGGTTTTCAACTCATTTGTTGAATTACAGTGTAACTCATTGCCTTAGTAATTTCCTTGATGATGATTCTACCTTTTGCTCAGTAATTAAATCTTCTTGTATGTAAGTGTGTCAGACTAACTAAACAAAGATCCAATACTCTGCATGAGTGGGTCTTGACCTCACTTTTTCTAGTTCAGTCTGATGCATTAAAGTACCTGCTCATCAAGTAAAAATAGCTTTTGTTACTGACTGGGACAACTCTTATTTTTCAAAACATTTTTGGACTTGCCCCTCCCACCTCCTTCACCCCCATGCCACTAAACAAATATGAGATCTTATTTTAAAAAATAAACTTTGGGGGTTTTTAAATAACTATAGATTCAGATATTTAGCAGTAAGGCTGTTTCTGGTTGGGTTGGACACAGAGCAAGGACATGGACTGAGAAGTGTGTGGTAGGTGTGAGACCACTTACCATGATATTTTCAGAGCTCATGTTTAATTGTTTCTGCTCGTCTGGATGTTTTGCAGGTAGAGGCAAGAATATAAAACTGTCCTCAGCACATCAAACCTTTAGGCTCTCCTTTCTGTGAGATAAGAGCACATACTCGTGCACGTTTTGCATTGGCTTTGGAATTCTTTCTTAGATTAATGGAAGGAAAAGTTTCTGGAACATTTGCCTGCTTTAGAGAGAACCTTAAACACTGGTATGAGTATTCTATGAGATACTGATGTGCAGCAAGTATAATTAAGTAGAAATCTTTGTGCAAAAAAGATGCGTTTTGGCGGAGTGTAACCTGTAATGGAATATAGATTTAAAGGGTACTTTAGGTCTGCAGTTTTCTTACTGAATACAGCATTTTTCATTATCTACGTATAGGATCCAGCTATTCAGGACAAGACCAAAAGTGTGGGTAAAAACACCTTAAAGCTGTTGAGGATACCTTCAGGATTGGGGGAGCTACTTTTCTTTGAAAGCACAGTTTAAAACTTATTTCTAAGCAGTCTTTAATTCCCTTTTTTTATGGCAAAAATTTAATCCTATTCTGAACACTTTATGTTAAAATTGTGCAGATGGAATGTGTGTGTGGGTTCTTCTGTGATACACCATCCTATGGTTTACTGCTGAAAAATCTTTTTTATAATTGCCTGGGAACATGGTCAATTTTGTAGAGCAGGCCAGGCATTACTACATCTTCCGTATGCTGGTTTCACTTGCGAAAGCCTACGCGGCTGTGCTCCACCTACAGCGCTAGTTTGATTTCATTCTGTGCTCATATTAGTGTATTCTCTGTAAGATCTGAACTTCAGTGCCTTTTGCATTAATTACTGTTTGTATTGCACTTTGAAAATGTAAAGGTTAATGGAAATGCTAAATGCTGGTGATCTGTATTACACTCTGTGTCGACTGGAAGGATCTAACAAGCGCTTACCAACTGTTTTCCACCTCTCTGTTTACTGCAGAAATCCTGTAGTCTTGTCATCCATTTGCCTGCTATTTGTGGTAATTACCACACAACTTTATGAATCTAAATTTTCTCAAACAATTCATGACTGTATTTAATGAAGACATTGTTTCTTGTCTCTTTCTTAAGAATGTCAAGCTGTCAGCTGAAGTAGAACCATTTATTCCTCAGAAGAAGGGTCCAGAAACACTAATGATCCCAATGGCGCTTCCTAACGACAGTGGAGGAATTAATGGCATGGAACCAACTCCTATCCCTAGCTACCTGATCACTTGCTATCCATTTGTACAGGAAAACCAATCCAATAGGTAATAAGTGATTGTGGTCTTCATGGAAGATGATCTGGTTTTAAATGAGTTTAAAATTTTGGTAGACTTGAGAGGAGTCAGTGACAGTTTGCTGTATATTCATTTGGTTCACTGTATTTAATCTTCTGATCTTTCATGGGTGTGGCTGAGTCCTAAGAAATTTAAGTTCAGTTATTAAAAGCTTAGGAGCTCATGAAACAAATGAGTTGTGGTTATTTGGTTGGTGGTTGGTTTTTTTGGGGGGTTTTTTTAAGGGGGTGGAGGTCTGAATTTCCTTGTGAGGGAAGAACTTACTGAGCAGTTGTCTTTTCATTTTGATTTTTACAGACAGTTTCCATTATATAACAATGACATCAGATGGCAGCAACCCAACCCAAATCCTGCAGGACCATACCTTGCTTATCCTATAATATCTGCGCAACCACCTGTTTCTACAGAATACACGTATTATCAGCTGATGCCAGCACCATGTGCTCAGGTCATGGGTTTCTATCATCCTTTCCCTATATTCTGCACCCTTTCAAACAGCAAATGCTGTAAACACAGTAACTACAGAATGCACTGAGCGTCCCAACCCGTCGGGCCAGGTTTTTCCATTATCCAGTCAGCGGAGCAGAAGCAGTAACAGGGGACCAGTCATACAAAAAGTAAGTCTGTTTTTTAGTAAGTTAAGTAGAACTGTGTAAGGAAAATATCTTTGCACAGGAAGCATGCATCTCATTTGAGCAAGAACAGGGATGACAGTAGTATCACTGAAAGGAAAGGTGGGCAGAAAGGGTGTTAATCAGAGAGTATCAAAACTGTCTACAGAGATATTTTGTGGTAAAATACTTGGTGAGTTTATGAAGCCTGCAAGTATTAACATGGGAAACTCCCTTCCCCTGCCTCTCTGCTAGCTTGGTCTGAGCTTAGAATTACTCCATTAGAGAACAAAGGAGGTATATCCATACTTTCTTTACCTTTTTTTTTTTGATGCTTCCACATCATAATGAACAGTTCATACAGAAAATACTGCAAATAAATTAATACATCAAGTATTTTTATTAATATTTCCCTTAATCTGTTGTCTTGAAACATGTGGCTTCTGTAGAGAGCATTAGAACTTTTAATTGCTTTGTTTGATTACAATTATGAAGTCAAATCATATGACTAGTGTATATGTGGCTAATCTTTTAAAACAGCAGCAGCAGTTACAGACGCATATAAAAAATAAACGCCCTCCAGTGAAAAATGTTGCCACTCAAAAGGAGACTAGTTCGTCAGGTCCTGAGAACAGATCAAAGATTGTTTTGTTGGTTGATGCATCACAGCAAACAGGTAATTATTTTCTTGTGTTCTGAGCATACGAAATAACTACAGCTACATGTCAGTCGCCATCTTTCCTAGAAGAAGGTGGACCTGGTTTAGATGAGACTTTGAAGAGAAATCTTTGCAGATCAAAAAGATAACGAATAAAAGGTGCTGATGGTTGCAGAAACCTGCTCAATATGTCACATTGTAGCATTGTAATGATCTGGTACTCCTGCAGAGATTTTGCCGTTGTCAAAACCAGACTCTTCTTGCAGGAGTTGATTATTACTAATAGTTGGACCTAGAAAAAAATTGTTTAAATTCAATGCTGGTTTAAATTTTGTTAAAAGGAAGTTGTCACGTGTGAAAACTTTGGCTTTTTCCATTTGTTTTTATGATGTGTAGGTTTTAAAAATTCCTGCACAAGTAATTTTATTTTTATTGTTTCTTGCAGACTTTCCTTCAGATATAGCTAATAAGTCACTTTCTGAGAGCACCTCTACAATGCTTTGGAAATCAAAAGGCAGGCGCAGAAGAGCTTCTCACCCTGCTGCAGAGTCCTCTAGTGAACAGGGTGCAAGTGAAGCAGACATTGACAGTGACAGTGGCTATTGTAGTCCTAAGCATGGCAACAACCAGGCTGCAGCCATGACTTCACGAAATGCAGATTCTTGTGCAATGAATGTATGTAAACGTAACTGAATAACTTAACTACATTTTTATCCTACAGACTAATAAAAATTACTAATTTTTTTTTTTTTCCCTTTTCAGGTTGTAGAACCATCAGTAAATACAAGTAAGCATTGTCTTAGCTGGTGAGCTGTTTATGATTTGGCTGGGTCACTTCTGTATTTTTGTTTTACACATCGCTAGGAACAATCTCTCAATCTACTTCCAGCATGCTACTGTTAACTTCTGAAGATATGTCTTAACTGTTACTTCCACCACTTCTACCAAGACCCTCTTTACTTGTTGAATGAACAAGTAAAGTCTTAAGTAACTATCACTAATGATTTATCAACAGCTGCCTTTCTTTAAAGGATTAAAAAAGCCAGAGAGTCCAGTGGAAGCATTCAGACAAAGCTGTGCTTCTGTTGTGTTTTATCCTCAAGCTTCCTTACCCTGTTGGGCTGCAGTTCATACCTGGGTAGTAAAGGAGCCAGAGAGTTCTCGTTCTCTGTTTGAGATACTTTTTTAGAAACTTTAAAGTACTGTAACATGAACAAATATTTTTATTAGTCTGGTAGTAGTGAGTATCACTAATGGCTATTATTTGTGACTGGCCCAAAATTGTTACGGATGTGAACCTGAGATTTCCTTCATCTGACTGCTTCCTAGTGATCAGTTGTTGGCAATTTGAATGTCAGTCATCTGACTCTTCCATAAAGGCAATTCTGCTAGCTTCTAGAAATAGCTACAGAAGCTAATGTTGTCAGAGGAGAATTAGACTTTCTCAGAGGACTTTATTTGTATCAAAATGGTGTTCCTGGCTCTGATGGCACGTGTATCATTGTGACACGTTCTGTCATACTAATTCATTTTTTCATAGATGGCATTTCTCTTTCAGCTGGTATAAGTTGGACTAATGTAAATTCCCAGGCAACACAAAAAAAACCTTGGATTGAAAAAACTCAGACATTTTCTAGAGGTGGAAGGCAAGCTGAGCAAAGAAATAGTTCACAGGTATGTTGTTAATGGTTCTAAATATAAGTATTGTTTCTTGTAATATATGAAAATAAGGAATTTGAAATGGATTATAAAATCAACATACAAAGAATAGTTAATGAAAACAGTGAATGAAAAGTCTAGAAACTCAACCTAAAAGTCCAGTTGCACATTTCTACCTTGTATGTGTCTTGAGCTAGCACTATATCATATATATATATAATTTCATTGCTTCAGTCTTCTGTCTGTAGCCTGTTCTTTATGTGCATCTACCTAGGAAGAACATTACATATGAAGTAAGCTGTGAAATGAAGGCAGTGCGAGTGTAGAAAAGCTAGTTCAGATTTTGACCCTTTCACACTTTAGAAAAAAAAAAACAAACCCTTAAACTTTCTAAAGAGATTTTGATGTGATGGTGAACTAGAACTCTATGTTCTCCCTCCTGTTGTCTTTGAAACTTTATTTGTAAAATTTATAGTAGCATACCATATTATTTAGCATTTTATTATTAATAAAAAAAATTAAATTGCTTTATGCTAAAACTTAAATATGTTTCTGTGAAACTTCCTTCAAGTAGGACAGGATTTCTGTAATTAGTATGTGAGGAGAAGATGGCCTTCATAATTTTGATAGTGTAATTTTATTGGGAGGGGGTTGTAGAGGAGGACACAGAGAAAGCTGAAACATCTGCCTTTGCTTAAACATAGGTTTTGCTTGAGTTCAGTTATTGCAGGCAAGAATAGCTGAGCTTGAAGTGGTAGCTTTATCATAGAAGTGCCTGTATGCTTAGATAAACGTGAGCTAGCTTGCCCTGTTTAGTTTTTTAGATGGAATTGTTAATTTGTCTTGAGTCTTCCCATTTGGTATCTGTGGGTTTATTATATAAAGAAGCTCGTTGATGCTTGTATCTGGCAGTGTAGCAGTTCTGAATATCTTAATAACGTGTAGTCAAATTGGAGGCTTTTAGAAGCCACTTTTTGTGGTTTATGTCACTGTGAGAGTAGGAAGAACCAGATTTCCTTTAATCCAGACACAGTTTAGACTCTAAATTTGGCAGTTATTTTAGATATTTAAAAACAAAGCTGGCACAAAGAGTTTTAAATGAAGTTTCCTCAGCCAAATTCACTGTACCTCAAGGCAGAATTGTCCTAGAAACTGTTTTCCTTTGAAACTAAATTTGTTCCAGGTCTGTAGGAAATTTTCTCGAGAAATACATTAGTATGAGAGATCCAGAATTTCAGATTCAAATCATGCTTTACTTTCAGCCAACTAATCTTGCACATAGGTTTCCACCAACCTTTCACATAATAAACAGAAGAATGTTTATACCAGTATACTTAGGGCTCTTGTCCTTAGAGAGCTCTGTGCCTGTGCATTGTGCTAAAACACATATTGAAAAGGCAATAGTTGCATGCAGAATAATTATGTAATGGGAAAAAGTTCTTTTGATCATGGTTACAGACAGTTCAAGATTCATGTCTGAGTTATATAGTCACCAGCAACTCTTATGGTTTTCCTCATGTTTGGCCAAAAGGACCCTATTTTTTTTAATTAGAAATTTAGAGGTGAATGTACAGAAGTACTGTATTTGGCTTGAGAGGTGGAATAATCTGATACTATCTGTAGAATGCGTTTGTGCAAGTCAAGAAAAAAGAAAAAATCCAAGAAAAAAAAAAAAAATGAAAAAACCAAAACCACCAAAACACAGCTTATTAAATCTAATTCCATAAAAACTGTACCCTTTTAGTTGCTAATTAGCAGGCGGGAGAATGCCTTCCATGCATGCACATCGGTCTTGAAAAACTGAAATTGAAAAATGCCAATCACGTTCATTATTTTCAGTCCGGTTTCAGATGCAGAGAGCACAGTACATCTTCAGAGAGAAGGCAGAATTTGCAGAAACGACATGAAAAACCTCTAACTACAAGCCAGTCAAGTAGAACAGAGCAGAGTCCTGAACCTCTGTATTTTGAGGTAGTGCTGTATGAAAACTGTTTCTGCATTATAGTGATGCAAGTTGTGTGTGGAATAAGTGATATTCTCAACAGGGAGAAGTTGCAAAACATCTGACTCCAAGAGGTGTACAATATAGTGCACTAGTTTAATTATTATATGATGCTTTCATTGTGTGTGTACAACGACTTGCATTTGGGTGTTGTGGAAAGAGTTAAGAATTTAGAACTATCTGTGACTGGCAAATTAGATAAGCAACTTTCAAGTAACTTTTTCTGTTCACTCACAAATTCAAATTACTCTGTTCTCTGGCTTATCCCCCCTTTCCCCCTAATTGTAATTGGAATTCTTCAGTATAAAACATTAATAAATTGTTTCGGTTGGTTTTGAAAAAGGTTATTCAGATACAGAAATGCTTTGTTAATTTTTCATCATTTTCTGTTTGTGTCACTTTTAAGCCCTTCTAGCTTATGTGGGAATTCAGGATTGAATTATTTCTTCTAGCTTCGGCCATTTCAGTTGATGCTTTTCATGTGACTTTTGATTTCATTCTCTTAATTCTTAATTTGTGTATTGTTTAGGATGAAGATGAATTTCCAGAGCTAAATAGTGACAATGGCAGCAGCAAAAGTAGTAACATCCAGCAAAAGATTTCACCCAAAGTAGTAAGTAATTATTTTGTTTTGCAAGGTATTTGTGTATTAAATTGTTCTGAGACTCGGCTACAATACTTATAATGCAGTAACTGTTGGTGTTCTTGAGGTATTTGCACTGCCAGTTTTGAATGCTAAAGAAATACCAATTAAAATAAGTGGTGCAGAGAACATATCTTAAAAAAGAGTGCTGGATTTTTGTCTGCTAATGAGATTGTTGACAAGTGAAACTGTAAGATACGTATGATAGACACTTAGAATCATAGAATATCCCAATTTGTAAGGGACCCATAAGGATCACTTTGTACAGCTACCCCCTTCTCTGTCTTACTGATGGTTTCTCACCAGTTTTGTGCTTTTTGAAGTTGCATGCTGATTTTGGGTAAACTGTAGATGCAACTGTATTTTTGAGATTAAAATTAATTTTGAAGATTATTGCATGTTCTTTGTGTTAATATGTAAACTACATCCTGGTTATTCTTTCTGACTCAAAGGGCTTGCATTCAGACTTAAAATTGTTAAATTTGCAAATATGTAGTAATGGTGTAAGTTTTTAAAAATAACTACAGTTGGTGTATTTTATTCTGAAATTAAAATAAACTAAACTTTATCTGCTTTAAGGCTGTAGAAACAGTTGATGGAAAGATCTCTTTTAATACCTGATCTAAAATATTTTGTTGCAGAACTGTATGTATAGACTACTCAATCTATTTGGCTGCTTTCCAGGAAAGTAAAGTCCTACATGAAATCTTTGCAGGGAGGAAAACAAACACTCCCTTATTTAGCAATCAAACTGGAAACCCTTCTGCATGCATAATTGGTGATAAATATAATAGCTTTCCCATACAAAAATGAAATATGCATAAGTTTCTAATTTTATTCACATACTGTTTCATCTAGCTGTACTTAATAATTGGGATGTCATAGATCTTTTAGTTTCTGTAGTGTCATATTTCTATGGCCTTGAGAAAGGTCTTTCTTTAATTGTGGTTTTGTGATTTTGTTTTTGTTTTTTTATTTTCTTTAAAATCCTAGTTGGATGACTTGCCAGAAAATTCTCCAATCAATATAGTCCAAACTCCAATTCCCATTACAACCTCTGTACCAAAGCGTGCAAAAAGTCAGAAGAAGAAGGCCTTGGCAGCAGCACTTGCAACAGCTCAAGAGTATTCAGAGATAAGCATGGAACAGAAAAAACTCCAAGTATGTAGCACTGCCACACCTCCTTGTAGTTGGTAAAGAGGAGTATCAGTGAGCTTGCTCCTCTTTATTCTGGAACAGCAAGAGTCTCTTTGTAAAGAATGTTTTGAAGGCATTACTTCTTTGCATTTATCAGTATGTGGTGTTCATGTTATAGGAGGCTTTATCAAAAGCAGCTGGAAAGAAGAGCAAGACCCCTGTTCAGTTAGATTTGGGTGACATGTTAGCAGCTCTTGAAAAGCAGCAGCAAGCAATGAAAGCTCGTCAGATCACCAACACCAGGCCTCTCTCATACACAGGTATTTCTAATCTGCTTAACAACTGCTATATGCATTTTGTGACAATATAAATGTGATTGATCTGAGCATCTTAAATAGGCTTTTTTTCTGTTTTATTTTTTTGGTTAGAAACGTAATAAAAACATGGGAAGACTCTTAATGCATTTCCTGAAAAATTAACCTGTGCTATCTTCCTTTGAGCTGCACTATGCAATGGTGAAAGTCCATGTAGAACTGAAGTCAAACTTCTTTTAAAAGAAGATCTACTAATCAAAACTCAGAATTCATGTCTTGAGTAATTCAGTGCTCAAGTGAATATGTGAAGAGAACTTTATTAGGTCAAACAAAATATCTGCTACAGATGTTACAGAATTATCTTTGAAAGCAGCTAAGAGAGGATACCTGTGACTATGATAGAGAGGGATACCTCTCCAGGAAATTCTTCCCACCTCTACTGATTATAGTTCAAGGCTTCCTGACCCAAAGCTTCCTCCAACCAAATTCATTTCCTTAAGTATCTGTCACTTCTGTTACATGCCTTTACTGTCCATAAGGTCAAGTGGCATTGAATTCTAACCTTACTACATGCTGTGTGGAGCAGCTCTTCATTCTTCTGTGCTTTTTCGGGTAGGGGTCAGGGTTTTTCTGTGCCCTACTCATAATTTCATTAGCTTTTGTAGCCTTTGTATTATGAAGAGACTAAGCAATCATTTCCTGCTCTTCTCCTCTATGATACTTAGAGGTCTACCATCTCTTTTCTAGTCTGAAGAGTCCTCATCTATTTAGTTATTCCATTGTGGAAGCATGT